CTATCAAATGGTCACCCCGCAGTACCGTGAGGCTCCTCTGGGGGACCGTAAGCAACAGGGCTGTCCATTGTTTTATGTTCTTTTTTTTTTTCTCAAAAATTCTTTACGAGTTGGAAAGCTGGAGGTTCCCCAACACTTTCCCTTAAACCAATTCAAATGTATTTTTCATCAGTGTTGATCAATAAACTCGTGCAGATTTTGTGATTTGTAAAAATGTTATTTTAACCTAAAGCATTATAACGTGGATGTTTTATGTGAAAACGGGAAGGGGATGGTGTTTGGTTGTACACACTGAATTAGTTAGGTAGTGGAGTGTTTATTTAGGTAGTAAACTGTCACTGCTTACTTAGCTATAAAAAAAAAAACATTTGTTTTCTTTACTTTTGGTTGAATTTGAGCTCAAATTCTGCTTACAGTATCATTTCAGTGACAACTTGGTGGATTGAAAATGCAGCTGGAGAGTATTGATCAGAGTCACAGCATTTTGTGTTTTGCAGAACATCCAAAACGATTGTGTTTTGTAAGTATTAACAGACAGATCCTTCTCCTGCAATAAAAAATCTGGAAAACCTGTGTTCCGTCTGGCTTCCCTTCTGCCCTTAAATAATGCAAGGACCACAAGCTCTCCTGCTGGCCAACACGACGGCTCTCAGACAATGGAGCTCAAAACAAGAACTTGTGTTTACTGTGATTTGGTCAGAAATATGTTCCCTGCAGCATTTGGGCCAGAATGCAGAATGTGTTTGTTGCGAAGTACGTCTCTTTCCGGCTTAAGCGAAACACGGCTAGTTTGATTCAGACCCCCCTCTCAGGTCTCTCGCCTGATTGCCTTACACGGAATTATTGGTTATGTAAGCAACAGAACTGGGGCGATTTATAAGAGCCCACTGAGGAAAAAGTAGATCTGAAAGCACATAATTTTTGCAGCAAAGACCACATAGGGTCCAATAATCCGGATCTCCCGCCAGCCAGCTGACAGACCGTTTATTATGGCAAACTTGACCAAAGCACACATGCTCTTTGTTGACTTTTTCTTCCTCCAACTGGCAGCATGAAGAAAGCTCATACTCCCTGCCGATTGTGTGATTGTAACAGTGGGCGTTACGTGGGTGCTGGCCAAGAAGGGGCAGTGTCCTGATTCCATAAAGATAAGAACCTGAAACGGAAGTCATGTTTAGATCTGAGTGTCCCTGGAAAGATCTAAGCCGCTATGCTATCTTAATGTCCAGTAAAGGCGCTGACATGGCGACCATATTTAATATTCTTTCTAGATTTGCATCCTGCCATCTTGTTTGTCTTGTTGCTTTGAGTTTGGGTCGCAGTGTTTGGGCACCAGCAGTAGAAGTCCGCCATGTCTCTCCCCCCCACCCCCGTCTATCCTGACAGCTTCTGTCGGGGACAAGCAAATGGCCGTCACTGCATCTCTGCAGCAGCCTCAGGAATCAGGCTTCAACGCCGGTGTTCATGATCAAAAGTTTATATTTGCTTGCTATTTGTTTTCTTTTAAAAACGAGCCTTGGGTATTGATGCATTTGGCCAGTGGGGTTCCTGGTAAGTGTCTTATCACTCTCCTGGTTTACATCAGGAGCTCTGTGCTGATGACATGGAGCACAGGATTGCTGGCTCTCTCTTCTGTAAACATTGGCAGGGGCAGCACCGTGTGTGTGGTGTGTGTGGGGGTGTGTGAGTGGGTATACCCATCCTTAAGGGGACACAATGTCCCCATACCGTGATAAATATCCATTTTTTTCCCTTATGGGGACCGGTTTCCTGGTCCCCATAATGATATGTTTACCCGACATACTGTACTGTATGTGCATGCGTGTGCGTGTGTGTGTGTGTGTGTGTGTGCTGCATTTGTTCTCGGGAACGACCAGCCTTCTGGAAACTCTAATCACTGTTGACACTGCAGTTCCAGTTCCCTGTTTGAGCTCAGGAATGGGAGAGGGAAGAGGCATTATGAGAAATAAACCAAACTAGGTTTTTTTTGTGTGTGACAATCAAACGGGGTGGAAATGGAGGGTAAACAACGATTTGCATGGAGCTCTGTAAAATCCTTTGGTATCCTATAGTGAAACTGATATTTCAGTTTTAAAATGCTTAATGTCTGATTGTCCTTATTCTTTGTCTTTACAGAAGCATTGCTGCAGAAATATATATATATAATATATATATATATAATATATATAGAGGGAGATTTTGATTAACACATTGAAATTCAGAATGAGTTTATCTCCCAGTTCACCATCTCTCTGGACCCAGGTCTAATCCACAGCTCTCACTTCTTCTCCCTCTTCTCCTCCGAGCAGTTTGTAGGGCTTGTTACAGCCTTTGCTTGATGGTTGGTCTTTCTGAACATTGCAAAGTCTTTATCTATAAAGGGAGCAGCATGATGTTTTTACAAACTTGCCCTTTCAGCCAAAAGGGTCCCACAGAGGCTGAGAGCACTTTGATGGGAAGCTTTGGGCGTTTAGCAAAAGCACCTTAGTTTTGCACATATGACTGTACAGCCGAGCAGCCCTGAATGTTCATGAATAAATCCTTTCATGTGAAGCAGAAATGGGCATGTGTGTAAGTCAACCAGTGTTCCATACTGCACACACACACAAAATACAAACACTCACCAATATGCTCTGTGCACTATGTGTGAGTCTACAAACTGTAATATATAAAACAAAGAAAATTTTAATCATACAAAAATTAAATTAGCATATGGGGAACTGAGACCCTCCTACACACCACCAAAGCATGAAAACATGGCTGTCCAACAATATATTTACAATTATTCCGATGACTTTTAAAGAAAGTTCCTAAATTTTTACAGGGATTTAACTTGGGAGTAGCTGAAAAATTGAATCGACAATGAGTCCTTGCTGAGCTGCAATTCCAACGCCTGACACCGGGCAGCAGTGATGAGCTTCCAGTTTCGTCTCCTCAAGTTCAAAATGATACATGTTCATCCATCAGTTTATATTTACTGGACAAATGCTTACTCTGCCATCTGCCTCCACATGGAAGTCCTTTCGTCTTGGAGTTGCAAGCATGGCTTTGTGTGCCAATCTACCACATAGTTTGATTTGTCTCAAGAACATTTAGCTGGAGGTCATGCTGAAGTCCTAAAGAGTATCAGTTCACTGTGGTACACGGTGTATGTAGGAGAGAATGTGAAAGAGGTGGAACGTAGAGCAGGAAAATTAATGTATGCTGGTAGGTCTGTGTAATCCTGGTACCACTGATACTCTTTTAAGGCTCAGATCATTTTTCTCATGTTTCACGGAGCCTAAATGCCAGTTCAGAATGAAGCTGAACTGTTTGGAACCGTTCCTTGTAGGTTTTTGGGCCTGATCTCAGCGACATCAGCACGCAAGAATGAATCACAGCTACCTGGACAGATTGAGGCGGGAAATTCAATTGAATTCCAGAGAGTATAAGTCCAGACCAAGATTCTGTTTCAACCAATCAGTTGAGTATAAAGAGTCACAGACTACTCAACCGGTTGGTTGAAACAAAATCCTGGTCTTGACCTTTACTCTCTGAACCTGAACTACCCACCTCTGGTCCCAGTTATTTAACTGTTATTTAAGCCCCCAAAACAGCTGTGGCCAAAGGGAGGGAAAACGTGTCTTTGTAACACGTGATTAGATTATCATACCAGGCGAAAAAAATAGCTGGAAAGTCAGACCTATGAAAGGGTGCAAACATAAGGGTCTGTGGATGGTTTAGCTTTCCGAAGATGCCGAGGGGGAAAGCAGCACAGCCATGTGCTCCGGGGCTCTGAATGGGGGGGCGGGGGGGGGGCCTTATGAAGTCTTAACAAGATTCCAGACTTGGCCAGTGTGTGCTACTTCCTGCGGCACTGAGCCTCGTCAGCCATCATTTGTCTGGTTGACTTTTCCCAGGTCTGATGAGAGCGCTTGGCTTATGTTCTGCTTCCCTGAGTCAGATCAGCTTACTGTGAGCGATTAGCACAAGCAAGGCGCTCGGGAGAGGATAAGGCCACGAAAATCAAGCAGTCACTGCTTAATCAGCTTCTCCGGTCAAACTGGACTCTCGTTCAGGGGTTAGAAATCAGAAGCTTCTGAATGATCACACATCCCCTCCCGGCTGGGTCATCCCTGCATAGAGGCCAACTGATTATTCGTATCTGTGATTGATTAAATCACTGCTTTTGGGGGGAGGGGGGGTGATTTATAAATATGAAATGTTAGACCGAAACCAAGACGATTAAATGCAGAAAATAGATACCTGACAGAATGATATCGAAATGGGTGAACAGGGGGGTGAGGGTACCTCAGTGGGTAGCTTTCCTGTCTTGGGATAGGAATTTGAATCCTCGGTACAGAGCTGGGTTCCCCAATTCCGGTCCTGGAAGGCCATTCCACTCCACAGTTTGCAGATTTCCCTGCTCAGACACACCTTATTCAGCTCACCATCTGATTGCCAGGTTTAGCAGACTGACCTTCCAGGACCGGAATGAGGGAACCTTGGTGTAGAGACTGAATGTTCTCCTCATGTCATGTCTTTAAGCTGCCCAGAGTGTGTAAGTGTGTGTTCCCTCTAATGGACGGCATGTGCACCCCTGCCTTGTGCCATATGCTGCCTGGGATCAGCTCCAGGCCACCCCTGTGACCCTGTATTAGATAAGCAGTGGAAAGATGGATGGATGGATAATTGGTAATTACACCAGGGTACCTTCAATAAAAACTTAAATGTGGGCTTGTGCATAAGGGAGCAAAAAGAACAAATCAAAGAAATAATGATTACTTCAGACTGGCTGTGTGAGACTTTGTGTGTGTATATGTATGCTCCTATGTTCACTTATGGATGGGAATATGAGCCAGCGCGGCGTACTGTGTGGAACAAGTGTGTGACTGGGGATGCAGTTTCCATGACAACGGGCTGTGTATTCTGGAGAAAGGCAGCCGGGATTGGAGGACACACAGGCAGAGGGGCGGGCCCAACACCGAGCAGACTTGTCAATCACCCAGCATCCCCCCACCTCTATTTTCGCTCAGGAGATCGGAAAAGTGATTTAGAAGCTCTGCTCAGAGTGTTCTATCTGCTCAGACATATCTCCGTCTCTGGGAAAGCAGATCGAGAGCGAAAGCAAAGACCTGCAAAGCCTCTTCACCAAACCCCAGCATGGCCACCATTACCTGTACTCGCTTCACCGATGAATACCAGATGTTTGAAGAATTGGGAAAGTAAGTCTCTTTCATGCACTTGTATCGTTTTGTCATTGAATTTGAAGCAGAAGTGAGATGGTACCAGGAGTGGCGTGTCCAACCTGGATGCCACAGTGAATTGGTAGAGATGATCTCTTTATTGTCGGAGGCTGACTGACAAGCCTTGTCTAAGTGAAGTAGGAGAAGGAAGCAGGGTAGGTGAGGGTGAAGTTAGCACGGTTCTTTCTGGAAATGAAGATTCCACATTTCATGGCTAAACCCGGAATGATGCTTTCATAAGGACAGGAGTTTTCGTAACTGAGAAGTTTGTGACGGAGATGATTGTAAACTGAGAGCAAGAATAGAATGAGAACAGAGACTGCTGACTGAAAACTGCCAGAAAAGACCGGCAAAATAAACAATTTTGAGACCCATTCTTATATTTGTAAGGGAGACAAGATGGGAATGTTTTAAATGCTCAGGATGTGCATCAATTAATTAAGTTATGATTTATGTAAATGAAACAGTTGTTAACTTTGCAGTCACAACATGCAAAGGAATCCTGATGATTGCCACAGTGTGATATCGGCTACGTCTGCGAGACCAGAGAGACTTTATTGGTTATTGTACGGATTGTTGCAATTCCTAATGCAATTTGGACAAATTCCATGCCCTGTCATACAAATTGAAACTACAGAGTAAGAGCAGAGGATTTTGGATGTGATTAAGTGTGGTGTGTCTATGTGTGTATAACTGACCCCAAAGTGTGTTTGTTCTGGAGATTGTGAGAGGAGACGTGTTTGTGTGGGCATATAGTGTACATGTATTCTCCAGTTTGGTCAAGTAGTGTGTGCGTGTGTGTGTGTGTGTGTGTGTGTGTATGAGTGTGTGTATGACCAATTGTCCCCACAATATGATAAAGACCTGTTATTTTGACGTTGTGGGGACCATTTTTTCAGTCTCCACCAGGGGAAACTAGGTTTCATAAAAATCTGTGACTACAATCAAAAAATTAAAAATGCCAAAAGTCTCATATTTTGTTTGGCTACTTATGGCCAAGGTTATGGCTGGGTAGGGGTTAAGGTCGTCATGTTGTGATTAGGGTTTTCCCCAAAGGAATGAATGGAGAGTCCCCAAAAAGATATAATTACAAACCAGTGTGTGTGTGTGTGTCTGTCTGTCTCTGGCACGGCACACAGACTTCAGCCCTGTAATATGTGAGTAATAGGCAATAATTCCATCTAATTCCAGTCTGTTTGCCCCCCCTCCCGCTGGAATAGAGCAGAGCGCGGGGGGGACTTAAGCAGCATCAGGCCTTGGCTGGCTTCTTCTCCTCCATGCTACACCCACTCTCTCCCCTGTGGCCCACGCCAGGCACGGAAAAATGCTTATGTAATTTGATTTGGGGGTGGCAATCTAATACACTTAAACTGAAATATTTTATAACCAAACGTCCTCCAAGCTGTCACATGTCGATCTCATAGAAGCAATCGATGCCGCTGCATTCGCTCCTTCTGTTCTGCTTCAGCATCCATAGTTTCTGTGAGCAGGAGTAAATGGGCACTTCTTCTCCTCATTTGGTTTTTCACAGTGCAGTGTGACATGTATTATTTGAGCGATGTGACATCTATCACTGAAAAGAATTATGCCGATGAAACTGATCTCTAAGAAAGACATCCTGTGGCCTGTGGGCCAGATCCTTGTCTTCTCTGCTTGACACTTTCGCTTTCCCATTCTATTGGTTCTTGTCCATCGTTCTATTGGTTCCTGTTCATAATTCCATTGGTTCTTGACCATCATTCTATCTTTCCTAACCATCATTCCACTGGTTCTTGTCAGTCATTCCATGGGTTCTTGTCTGTCATTCCATTGGTTCTTGTCCATAATTCTATTGGTTTCTGTTCATCATTTTATCAGTTCCTATACATCATTCAATTGTTTCTTGTCATTCCATTGGTTCTTGTCTGTGTTGAGTGACAAGGCAGCATTAGCCATAAAATCTCTTGTCCATTTGCAGATTCATTACAGTCTGTAATTTAACTGCCTACAACATTCCTTACATCAGTCAAACAGCTTTCCAGGAGAAAGGTTTACCAAGTTGATGCCCAAGCATTTATAACCAGTTTTGTTTCTTTGAATTGTGTTTTCTTTAATTAACTGGCAAGGTTATTTTCACATTGTCCAGTGAGCTTATTTAATTCTCTAAAGCCACGATTTGCTTTTGTTACTGCAGACTGAGGAAAATTCACGAAAACAGGCCAATTAGGAGGCTGAATCATTGCGATACAGACCAAGAGAGATAAGCTGGGAGACACGGCCTGCACCATCCAGGCATCATACTCTCCGGTGTGCTGAGAGACTCTAAAGGGCTTTAACGCTCAGAAGGTTACCTACCACGGTAAAAAAAAAATCCAGGAAGTATATCAGCCTTGTTTTGTATGAAGCCACTGAGGAGTGGGAGAGCGGTGTGGGCTGTACTCCATTTAACGTCGCTACACCCTCTGCATCGCCTGAGGCTGGGGGGGGGGGTTGGTTTAGGGGAATATTAAGCTAGTGCTGTCCATTCACATCAAGACCGTATCAGATCAAGTCACCCCGGGTCCCCAGTGGAAACATATGGTCAGCCGATTTCATTCTCATTAGCAAGTGGAGAGGCAAAGCCGGGGCGTATGGTGCTTACAGCCCATCCAGGTAGGTAGCAGGGCCTGCTGGAGACCTGCCAGAGGTACTGTACCCCATCAGCGGCCCCTCTGACCGCGCCCCCAGCAAATGAAATACTGTCGGCAAACTGCCTGAGCATGCCAGACGGTGAGAGTACCACGTCCTGGAACGAGGGCAGCAAATTATCTATGTTATCAGACCTTCATCCCGACATTCTGTAGATGCTCCACTGAAATTAAACTCCAGGTAACAGACTGCGATTAAATATGTAAATTAGTTTAATTTGGCAGCTGTTTTCCTCTTACTTAAAGCAAAGCTGCACTAATGATTCTGGGAATACCATGCGTCCGACAGAGAAAATAAACAAGGTCTTTTTCTTATTGTCTTACGCACTCTTGAGTTTGGCTTCCTCTCAGCTCACCTCTGATACGAAATCAGCCGTCCAGTCAGCCCTGTGGATGCATGTTCATGCACGTTCAACATACAGTGGAACACAAGGGTTTAGGGGAGGGATTCTCCATTTGAGATGAAACCACCATCAAGAACCTCGGTGTGTCCAGAAACCTCAATGCTACTGTTCAAAAACACAGACATAAAAATAAAGGAATAGATCATTTCAAAGAGTTTGCCGATAATTTTAAACTCAGAATCTACAGTTGTGATATTAAACACCAAACAATGTCAGCAAGATTCAAGATGCGTACCAAAGATAAAAGAAGATTGCACTGATTACAATGCGTAAGGAGCATGCGCTGATTACAGTATGTAAGGAGCATGCGCTGATTACGGTGCGTAAGGAGCATGCGCTGATTACAGAACGTAAGGAGCATGCGCTGATTACGGTGCGTAAGGAGCATGCGCTGATTAC